ATTTTTCATAGTGAGAAGCAATTCAGAAAACTGATATAATATATTTTCGTGCAGTTCGATGCAGCTATCTATACGTCGATCATCAACATCTAAAATCTAACTACATTACGATATTTTGTGACCACATCAAAATGTGGCCCAACATTTTTTTTTCCATACTATTTTATTCGATTTACATTCGCCCAAGTTGGTAGACATAGAGCGATGATAAGTAAGTCGTAAAATGCGCAAAGTATATTGAATCAAATATATAACACGTTTTTTTTTTAAGCATAAAACCTAAAACCATATTTTTCTTTAACTTCTCGACCAATAATATATCAATTATATTATTGGTCGACCAATATTATATCAATTAATAAGAGATGTCTTAAAATTACATATCGACGGTTCCATTAGTCAATTCAGTACGATTATATAGGGATGTCGTGCTTAAGTGATCTGTTATCAAAGCCGCGGCGCCAAGGACTCCCCTGAATTACATACCTGTTCGTATTGATCAATTAATTAATCCGAAACGTACGAATGTTCCAGTTGATTACCTACAACGTTGTACAGAGACATGGAAATTGGATTAACTATTGTGAGGGTTTTGATTCATTTGTGACTTGACGGGATGAAATAGCTGAAAACTTGTACAGAAGTTTTATGTTATTTCTATAACGTAATTTATCCCTTCTATGTAATGTTCATTCCATGCCGTCATCAGTTTAGACGAGACGAGGACAATTACAATTTTATGTTGGCGTTGCTTTATCTTTTATGGGATGATGTTTTAGCTTTGAATACTAACGATTGCGTAGAAATTCATCGCTTAGGGCCCTTAGAACCCAAATGCTCCCGACTGATTTGGTATACCTATTTTGGTATACTACATAAACAAGAAGGTAGGTAAGTTAAGTAGTATAAAAAATGGGAGTGCACGTTCGTGGCACATTCAAGATTTTAAAAATCAATTTTCATTGGAGCTGTGTAAAAAAAATATTTAAAGTCTTATCACTCATCAAAATGTTTAAAAAAACCAAATCATCATAAATTTTATTATTAGACTCTTTAACATGAAACTGACAAAACTTTCCGAAACATTGAGATGGTAATCAAATGTTCGGTATTCGTAAATCTATCCTAAACAGGCAAAACGAAGAAATAAAAAGCCAAGAAGTCTATTAGGCTGTATAATAAGAAAGGCAGGTAGTGCAAAAGATGTTAAGTTATTACAATGTGGCGCAGCGATAATGGGGGAAGTGGCGAGGCCGTTAATGCATCTCGATGTGACGGCGAACCGAGTCTCATCAGATAGTCTGAGGCACGTTACGCGCGAACGAGGAAGAATTTTCTCTCTGCGGTTTATCGCAACCGATGGACGTTGGCCCACCTGCGATCGCTTCCGGCAGCACACTTGTATTATGCCAGCTTATTTTCGTTTTCGATTTTCTACTGATACCACTGGGTGTGTTTACCATGTAGAATTTGGTATCGTAGTGGTGTATAGAGTAATCGTAAGATGTTTGTTGCGAGGAGTTGTAGTTTGAAAAAACGATGTTCCAAGAAATTGCTCACGATATGCTTTGTAAAAACACTAAAAATGTGAACGTTTAGCTCTTTTCATAAAGAATTCATGCAAAGAACGCGAAAATAATATATTATCTCGGACTTAGACAATTTTCCACAGCGGGTAAACTTCGCTTAGATACGTTGCAGCTGCTATTTTCGACTCAAAAACTTGCTAGTTTTCGTGTGCAGTTTATTTTATCTACGCTTGGAAGTCGTTGGACAAAAGCTTCTTTATTGCCAGCCAGCTCTCCTAACGTTTTCCAGTTTCGCTTTATTAACAAGTAAAAAAAGCGCTGAGATAATTGAGTAATATTTTAGCGGCATTATTTCAGAGAGTGCTCTAATAAAGCCTTGTTTATTTAAATTTGCGAAGACCTATCTTTCATACTAAAATTTAACGTCGGAAATGTTAATTTTTCGCACCAATGCACATTTGACATTGTAATAGAAATGACGATTTGTCGACTTTATTAGACATCTGCAAAATACGCTATTAAAATTACGTATAACTCTTAACTGAACGACGTAATATTTTATATGGTTTGGTGTAAATAATTTTATTCATTTCTGGGATTTTATATTTACTGGATTAACACATATTCGGATTAATATTGTAAAATTTTGTTGACTGATAATTAGGTAATATGGAAACATCTAAGTGGGGACAGGAATTGAACGTATAAAAGAAAATTATACTGAGGTAACTTAAACTTTACAATCTAAGACTTAAATCATTTATTATATTTCAATAGCTTAACGTCTAGTCATTCTTAATGGTGTTGAAATTATGGATTAAATTCTTTTTAGTGCCTAAATACTATATGTACGGCGATGAAGAAATACGTCACGATGGTAGATTATTTAGAATGCTTGAATGAATCATAAGACATTATTAATTTTAATGAGATTTTTAAATTTCATTTTCTAAGTTAACTCATGTGTAGGTTTGAAGGGCAGTTATTAATATACTCGATGTAAATGACAACGTAACCTATCATTAGCATGTATTAATATCTAGCTACATGTTATAGAATGTCTACACATAACGGTACATATTTGCGCAGTAGTCACGGGTGTCCTTTCATGAATTATTAATTACCGTTCTGTCCACAGTTAGCCGAGTGTCCCGTAATTACGTTGGAGACGTCGAAGCGTCATTACGACGGGGGCGATATACCGCGCCAAGACAGGACCCGGCGCTGATATTTGATATTGCCCGGGAAAACATGCAAATGAAAGGATCTCCGGTTTTAACGCGAGAGCCGCTAAGGCGCCCTGCGGACGTCCTCGGATCGCTATTCATGTTCCGCTTAGTATTTAAATTATATTAAACAGTTTAAGCCGGGAAATGTTGTATACCAGTTGCTGTTATATTATAAGAATCATGAATCTTCTTTCTTTAGGCACAACATGTTGTTGGTATTGGCTAGATTTTTCTGACGTTAATCTTCCTTGTGAAAACACACAGTGGGTCATATAAATACTTGTCCCGTGTGGGAATCGACTCACGAACCACAGCGCCGAAACGAATCGCTTATTTACTGCGCCACCGAGTCTTGCAAACAAAAAACCATCAATTCTAATGGAAGCGGTAATTAGGAAAGTTGTCCATTTTTATATTGCGCAGTTCAGTTCAGTTAAAACTCTTTCGGTTAATATGAGTTGTTTCGAATTGTTTAAACGATCATAGCTAACCGTGAACACTTTCTCGACATCGATTACTTGGGTTAGTCGATAAGTTAACTGAGTGTGGGCGGCAATTATCTAAGATATTTTCGGTCCGCTGCGTCGTATCTCGTCGTATTTCGAATTCTAATAACGAACAAACTTGTCATTTTGCCGTGGCTTGTGCTATTAAAGATTTTATTCAAAGGCACGCGTGTTATGGGAGTCGCATTATTATTCGTAGACATGCATGTTTGAAGGGACGATGTGTTTTATAACCGCCCGTGAAATGTAATATGTACATAAGCGAATGCAACGCGGAGAGCACTTATCTCTGACGTTTTACGTTGCCTTAGCTAGGGTTCGCGATGTTTTAATGAGAGCTGTCTGCGCACTTTTAAGAGGTAATTCAGTGTTAGTGAGAGCGTAATTTGCAATCTGGGAGATGGTTAATACTTTTAAAAATAGCGTTTTAAACTTTTGGATTCAACGTATTTTCATTGAATTTCGTTCGTTCGTACTATTATTACCGTGTCGTGGAAGTGCAGTGTTTTTACTATACCACGTTTATTTTAATTTATTATCCCTCGATATTTTAACGCCAGCTACGCAACTCTTCTATTGTGAACAGCAGCTATAGGCGGCCCTGGTCACATACCGGGCATAGTCAACAATAATCGAGATATTGTGCCATTTTATTTGTATTTAAAACTGGCTAGGGGTTGACCAGTGTTTGAGTACCCCAAACAGTAAGAGGCGACGTCTTAGACGGTGAACACAACCTGCTATATAATAGCCAACTCATTTTAAACCATTCCATTTTAAGCAAACCGAGCAGTGTTTTTGTATTAGTACGCGTTGACCCAGTTCAAAAAAGCAAACAAATAAGTCCTACAATCGCTTGGATTACATAGCAGTGCGTTGCGCATAGCAACGGCGTATCTAATGGGAATTGATAGAATTTCCTTAAGGATAATAAAACGTCTGCGTCTCGGTCATCAATCTTTATTGATTGAAACCGGGTCGGCACTGGCGTGGGCCCCGGACGAATCAATAGGCAGTCTAGTTAACGTCATTAATACCTGAATGGGTTCCTTGTCAAACGCCTCGAAACTCGAGCACAGCAGTGGGGATGATTTGGCGTTTTATTTCAGATTTAACATGGATATTTGAAACTCCGACCAGGCACTACTGTATCGTCATTACTAAATCGTTTTGGAGAACGTGGTAATTACATTGTTGGAGTATTGACATTCTTGCGTGGTATTTATATTCTTATTGAATGAAATATACGATGAATATGTATTAGAGCCGTGATAGCTCAGTGCCGGGGGCTCGCCGTTAAATCAATGTACTCGAGCAACCCGAGTTCGATCCCCGGTGCCGGCACCAATTAAGTTTTTAACTTTAAGTGGTGAATTATCACGTGCTCCGCTTTGAAGGAAAACATCGCGAGCAAACCTGCATATTTTCGAAATAATAACAAAAAATATATATTTCGAAGATATGTGAAGTCCGTCAATCCGCAGTGGGGCCGCGCGGTGGACTATGCCCTGATACCCTCTATATAGAGGAGGCCTTTGCCCAGCAGTGGGACATGTATCGCCTGTTACTTTACTTTTTTTATACGATTATGTAATTTAAACCTACATGGAGTGAATGACGATGAAAGTCATAACATTACACGTTATTATCATAAAATTTTATTTAACAAAACAGAATAACCATAGAAATAGTTGTCCCGAAAAGTGAACATTTTTCGAAGTATATTGACATGACATATGGATATGATTGATATAGAAATACGTTTACATTTACGTTATGCTACGTTACTGAGAAGTAGACACGTATACGGCGTAGCTAGGAGTGACTGGCGGGCAATAAAGTTCACAATCCACCCGCAGCCAATAGGTCATATCGAGGACGTGTGCGTCGTGCAGACATTTGGAATTGACAGCATAATGCTGCTTCAAGTCAGCGGCGACAGCGCAGACTGCTGCAGTCCCCATTTGATCCGCAACGATTAGGCACGTCGCACACAATGTAATGGCTGTGAGTGCCATCCACGGAAAATTAGCTTTCGTTGCTCGTTCTGACAACGTATCGAATTTTCAACGCGAATTGACTGACGATAGCTCGCGTTTATAATAAGCTGTTGAATTGCTTTCGGCGAAACATTTAATCGGACTAATGAATAGTAATTTAATCCAGTATTATAATTAAATCATTATGTAACAGGCAGAGTCGCATGAGAATTATTCCGTTGTTAACACAAAAATTAAATCTAAAACCGATCGTAGTCCAAAGCATTGAGTAAATCTGTTATATGGTTAATTGAATGAATTAATGAAATTAATGAAATATATTATTGTACACTACAACTGATATTGTATAGTCAGTAACACATAACACACTTTTGTAGAATAGGCGTGTTTTCTAAAGTTTGAAAATAGGTAGTGATTGTGCCTGCTTAATATGTTGTGACTTGGAGTATAAAGATGTGCTATGGGAAGGATTTCTGAGGGTTAAATTGTAATCGGAGCGGAGAGATCGATCTGAGTGAGAATCACAAAGACACTCAAAGATTAAGAGAAAGAGGAGTAGTTAGATTGGATAGAACAGAATATAAGAGATAGAAGGTGACTAATCCTGCGAAGGTGGATTAGAAGTCACCTGAGATTATTTAATAATTCAGAAACGTCATCATATTTATAAAGTACAAATATGAACCAGTGCAATTTTATATTGATTGACATTCGAAAACTGACGTGATGCTCGTCAGCTTTCGTTCGAATTACGAATTTGGGCCCCGAGCGTGTAAATGTAAATCGCGGCGCGTACATTCCGTTTGCATCCGCGCTAATTCCGCGATTCAATCGCACTAGGGCTGCGTTCGCATTTCGATTTACCCCTGCCCGTGCAGTTCATTTGGCGGTCATTATTCCGCGGCACGTTTCCATGCTGTCACGTCACGTCACCGCTCCACGTCTCCCGTGACTGCATTACGCGTGTTTAGTCATATATCAAGCCGACGTCACGTCTGACCCAATTAATTTATGTTTTCACGCTGAGAATATTAAATTTGAAAGCCTCGGCGAAGCTTCTGTGTTATGGTTTTGCGTAACATTACGCATATGTTCTTACTTGATGCCTAACAGCATACGATAATGCCTTTATTATACTGCACAATATCGATTCCTTGTTATTAGTTCGTTTAACAACTTAGGCCTTTTAAACAGGTGGCAAACATATACTTTTAAACACTTAATTTTAAAGATTCAAATTATACATTTAAAAGTAAAATATTTTTTAAAAGTAACAACACTACAAATAGGTATTTTATGTATATATAGTAGTAGTACGTTTAATTATTTATTTATCGTTGGAGTTAAGCGTCCACAAATAAGCCACGTAATAATGAATCCCTTTCAATTAATCATTTGAGTAGTGGAACTGTAATAGTTTAATATTACAAAGCATCTTATTAATCTACAAAGCGATTTCGCTAAGGCACTTGTATCTTTGATCGTTGCACAGGTTACGTACTAATTGTATTTGTGGTTAACTGTTCCACGGCATAATGGAATGCCGAAACAAATTTTATCTCGGATATAAATTCTATTCTATCCCTTTAGTTGTCATCATAACAAATTCTCATTTTACTTGGGTTATGTTAAGGTTTTCGTGTGAATCTTTCGCCTTTACAAAAACGTGAAGGTATTGTGATATCGTGGTTTTGTGACTCTTGCGTCTCCTTATACCACAATTTTGATTACTCACTGTTAGGGGCTATACCAGTTCAACCTGGAGGCGTTACAGCTTTGTTGTGATGTTGAGTCTACTAATTTAGGGAATAAAATGGAAATGGTAGCATTAGAGCGGTCTTTTTCTTTTTTTGTATTGAGGCAGATGCCTTTCACCTTATTACTGATTTCCATGGAAGTTTGCAAAAGCATTGCATTTTAGATAGAATAGGTTCTATTTTTGAAGGTGCCCACGTTGTTTTGGGCAAAAAATATCGCTGACTTGATGGCTAGTTAATTCTTCATTATTCAAGGAAGGAGTTGCATTGAGACATTCCCCCCCAACAGGGTTGTGTGGATTGGTCTCCACGGTGGGGTAGGGGGTACGGCCCTGTAGTTCCGGGCTCATGGAATAGAGCTAAGGTATCTCCTGCCTGTCTTAAGAGGCGACTAAAAGGGGACATGGATTGACAGCAGCACGAAGTGGCCTCGAGCTGATGCAAGTGGTGAGTAAATCGGGGAAGGTTTATCCTTCTTCGAGACATGCTCACGCCCAGTACCGCGGGACATCGGTGTTTTCCGTAGGAGATCCCGGAGTCCCTCCAAACGTAAATAAGGTGGCCACCAAGGGGGTTTTAGTGGTTAAGAACCCCACATAACTGTGTCATGTAATGACAGGGTATCTTTCAAAGATTTCCCCCCCGATACCAATAAAAACGTACTGAAAAAAGTACGGACAGGTTGAACGTGGAAGAGCCACTCTCCCTGTCCTCAAAAGGAGTGGAGTCACACGTCAAATAAGAAAAGGAATTGCATTGAGGTATTGATCGACCGGTCAACGCGGTCTGTTTCTTTCCATGTGTCAATAAGTAGTAGCAAAAATATTCAGTTATTCATCTATTATTATTAGAGCGAGAGAACACACACACGCGTCTAATGTGACGGGGTGGAAGCCACCGCTGTCGCAACGTTAAAGTTACATCGCGTGATCCATGGATGAGTTAGAAGTGTTTCCAGATTGAGTTTTGATTGTGTTCCCAAACACATGCGTATCGAAATCCGGGCCATCGTTATTCATTCGACACACGCCACCAAAAGACCTGTGTTCAAGTCGTCACGTCACCGCTTCATCCAATTACATACGTACATACAAACATATACTTATAACTTCGCATTCGATATGGTGCGCGGGAAAACGTCAGCTTCTGTTTTAATCATTTACAATGAAGGAGATGGCTATTTTTACTTTATAAAGACATAATTTAGCCTTATATGTTCTGGGTAATCAATAATGTTGAAATCGTATAAAAAAATTAGAGACAGCGATTTTTGCATTATATCGATATTTTTATCACAGCTTGCAGATAATTGCACCCACAACGTTGCATCTCAATTTTAAGTCGGATGTGGTTGCTTCAAATAGATTTAAATCATCACACATCGACATTGTGAATCAAATTGTCTTCAATGGAGACACGGTACGTCCAGAAACGGGAACAAAGGCAAACTTAACATAGTGATATAAAAACAACGAGCCCATAATTACAACACCGAGCGCCGACCGTTCGAAAATGGGTCGCGGTAATTGAGTTGCCGGCGTCGCCCGCCGCGTGTCGCTGCCGTCGCTCCCCAAGCGGCCGCAGGATTATCGTCATCGTTCACTATCCTCCCGTTGTTTGCTATTTATTGACGTAGTTACTTACGAGCCCCAAATTAAATACGAAAGTAAATACCTGGCTAACAAGCGAAAGCGAAATTCTCGTGAGCTTTACACAATCTGTAGGATTTGAAGTGAAAACATTTTTATAAAGAGAATACAGAATTATAGCCTGTATTTCTTTAAAACGCACACAGCAATGTTTGTCAGTTTAATTCTAAGTATGTACTGTGTAAACGTTATAGCTCTGTGTTTGGGCGGTCGCTTTTAATTCACTACTATACTCGAGGAATTTGAGTTCAAGTCCCGGTGAAGAAAAATGTCGTAAGGAAACCTGCATATTTTCGAAATAATCGGCAATGGGGCATAGATTGTTACATTACTTTTACTTTTAAACTATGCATACGGCACAACTATTGAACACGAGCTTAAACAGCATATGAATCGGTTGCTACAATACGTTAGTAACTGCACCAGCTTTAGTATTAACTGCGGGATTCGAACTATCGAAATCACTTACTAACTGTATCGACAACCCATACGGGTTCGATTCCCCACACTTATTTAGCGGTGTGGAAATCGATTCCCACACAGCTAAAGTTAGTGAATCACAGATAATTAAATAGTTCCGGATTCGGCTGTTTATTATTATATTCGGTTGGTGGCTGGCCTTAAAAACTTAGTAAAAACCACTAACAACATGATTCATTTCAAGTGATGACCACACCTAGGTGGCATAAAACAGAAGACGATGAGTTTAAATTGTACTTGTGAACAATAAATTTAATGTCTCAAAGTAAGATAATTTTTACAAGGAAACAAGCTCAATAGTAGCATTTACTTATACCTGCCTATCATTAAGTTTAACAAACGTGAGAGTATGTGGTTGGAGTAAATAAACGTGATATATTAGCTTATCCCAATGCATTTCACCGATTCATGGCTTGACGAATATGACGCTGTTTAATATAATAAATACAACTCACTAATCCAATTCAACGCCAAGTCAGAATATCTTCTGTTTTCTTATCATTAATTTTACTGTTGTTATATAGTCAGCGATTTAGAGGCAGCAGTGTAAAAATTGGGAAGTGGCCAAATTTACTTTTAAGTGCGTAACTTCTACGGAAAGACCATACCTTAAAGTATTCGGAACTACCTCGATTTTAGTACGCCGTAAATCAGAGAACAAGTCGTAAAAACTGACTAAACTCACAAAACCATAACGCTGTAGGTAGTAAATAAGAAATTCGTGATTCGGAAGGATGTATTCGTAGGTACGCGTCTATGAAATGGCGAAAATTTGTGAGTGCGTACCAGACACAGTGCAAGTAAATTATTATAGAAACCTGTGTTTATTCAGGGTTAATTATTAATTTTCAAATGAATTAATTATTCAAAGTTTAATATCGTTATAAATTGGTATTTAAAAATACAATCAATCGAATCAGCTTGTAAGGCAATGCAAATCAGAAGATATATAGATTCAGCTGGTATAGGTTTCTGTCTAATGGGATACCTTTAAGTTTAATATGCGAAGTAGTAATAATGATGATAACTTAACATTATTTAATTTATGTTTGTACAGTGGATAAATTTTTGTGGTAAAAGTAAAAAAAAAATG